CTCCTGAACTGCTAGGTATTTAGTGATTATAGCTCGCAGCTCGGGCGACGATTCCTACGTTCCCGAGAATCAAAGTGCAGCATACAAGTAATTTCAGTGGTTCAGCAAACGCTTTCCCAAACTTTCGTCGAGACTGGATGAAGGGTACAACTCTGACAATCTTTATTGGTGTACACAGCTTTTATGCATAGCCCCATGCAAGGGGTCTTCGTCCTAAAAGGGCAGGGATCGTATTCCCAGGATCATCCCTACCTGAGAGTCAAAGGCAGGAAAGGGGGTCATTGTCCCTTTGTCTCCCAGGTAGGGAATTCCCGCCACCCAGACGAGGAGTCTCTCAAACAGAGCGACAGGGGAGGCTTCATCCCAGGGCGCCTGGGAGCCAAAGCACGGAAAAAAAGGTTGCCCCTTTGTCTCCCAGGCACAGAAAAGCCTGCCAAACTAGCCAGTGCCTCCGGTAGTGTCCCCACCAACTGCAGAAGTCCCCACCATGGCACATACCCCTACCCGTCTTCATTCGCGCAGCTCAGGTGCTGAAACCTGCAAGAGAAGCGACTCCTTTTGGGGCACGAATGCTTCCCCTGGTTGGCGTTCGTCTCTACGAAATGGCTGCCACCCAGGGGAGCACTCATTAATTGCTTCCCTTGCGGTTTAACACTAGGTTACCATACAAGTGCGAACGTTCAGTTTTTCACTTATATTACAAATGCGAATGTTCTGATTAATTGGTGGGAACATTCTAATGGGGTTCCGGGGTGGTCCCTGTTTGGGAGACGAATGGGATCCGTTTGTATGAATGCTCCTGAACGGGAAAACAGGCATAACACATAAAGAGCTATGGAAAACACAGTAACAAGCTAGATAAAACACAGTAATTCAAAGGGAAACACACAAATGAACGGGGTTCTGCTGCAGGCACCAAGTAGTTTTGTCACAGCGTGCTCTATGATACACTCACACACCCCACACATTACTGTCAGTTTTATTGTGGGTGTGCTCTGTGATACACTCATACACACCACACATTACTGTCTGTCAGTTTTATGTCTGTGAATCTCTGTGACACACTCACACACAGTATGGTGCGGCATGTCTGAGTATCAAGAAGCTCTGAAGCAATAATCGTAGTAGTTGTATGATGTGCCACTATGCAGAATTTTCCAAACTAATGAAATAGTTAAACTGAGTGGTCAGACACGGTTGTGACAGTTGTGCACTGCCACAAATTACTTTGTGCTATATACAGTATTAATGCTATAAGAAGTAGCTTATTGCATATTTATTTCAACTTTAATTACACAGCTTCTTAAAGTAATCCATTTAATAAGTGTGCGCTATATAAATACCAATAATAATAATATTCATGATAATAATTTTATTTTAGATTATGAATGCCCTGTTAGATATGAGGGGAAAAGTACCTGGAATCCAGAGACAGACAGAACCCCCCTCACTGGTTTCCACGCCTCATACAATGTCACTGCCTTCCTTGTGAGGTCCATTTAAATGCTTTTCTTAGAGAAGCATGTTATTGACCATTCCCCTCAGTTCCAAAAAGGGGCTCAGTTTTGAATTGACAATGACATGGTTCCAAGTTGTAGCGGACCACGGGTAACCCAACTGGTTTCTTCCACTAATTCCTTTGCTCAGCCAGACTGGAACCATTAAAACATGCAGGCATCCATTTACCTAGTAACCAGACAAAACATAGTTCTGGGAATCAACTGATTTATTTCCGAGCACACGTGGCTTTTATGTACAGACTCCTATATTGTGTCTCCAATACAATAACACAGGGGTTTCAATTCCAGGATCCTTTGTGCCGGAGAGATAATTGTGTGGGAAAAACACATAATTTAATTATCCCTCAGGTACAGAAAATCTATACAAAATATATAACACGCCAAAAGTGCCCCCACCATAACCAGGAGCCCCACAAAAGTAATATATCCGGATGGCCCCAATCTGAGTGTATAACATCCAAATATTAGGGATGTGCATGGGCAAGAAATTTGGTTCAGTTCGGCATTCCAAAATTCGGCACTTCGTCAATTCGAGACTTCGGCAATTCGGCCATTTGAAAGCATCCAAATATCTGAATGTCTAAAATTCGGCCGAATTTTCATTCTGACCAAACCGAATTGCACATGTCTACCAAATATCACTCAGACTGGTTTGGTGAAACCGGTAAAGTTTTGACCAGCCGCACATGAGGCACTAGCCCAAAACAGTTCCAGGGAAATAAGTGTCTTTGCCGGTCTCTTTTCGGGGGCTTCCGGGGTGAACACCATGCAAGGGATTCTCTTACTTTCAGGGTACGAATGCTCCCCCTGTTCGGAAATTCATATCTCCCCAACGTTGTTCACATAGTTGGTCGAAAAGTAGAACGGGCAGCGGTCTAATCTTTACCGGGGTTCATGCGAGTGCTTAGCCCACGTTTGGGAGACAAAAATGGCCGCCATTCTTTTGTCGACCACTTGCATTCGGTTATACGAAAGGGTGGCCACCCAGGGGAAGCATTCATTAATTACTTCTCTTGCGGTTTCACAATGTTCTAATGAACGCTCTGTGAACGTTCTAATAGAGTACAGGGGTGGTCCTCGTTCGGGAGACGAATAGAGGAGGTTTGTGTATAATAACGCCCGAACGGAAAAGGGAAAAAACATACGAAATGGGGAAAAACATACAACATTGGCGGTAGGTTCCGCCACACAAGTTGCCTAAGTTACCTGTGCTGGTGGGTGCAACTAGGCTTCCACACAAAAGTACACATATCTCTGAATGTGCTGCGCTTCAAGCAGAAATGCTGCACAAACAGATTCCTACCACTATGCCCACTTCTAAAAGCAAAAGTTATCATGGTTGGAGTAACCCTTTAGACATATTTAGACACCCATGCAATGAAATCCAGTCAAACAGAAACACACAGGCACACACTGACACACACAGAAACACATACACATGCAGATACAAACACATAGAGAAATTAAATTATTATTATTATTATTATTAATATTTTAGCCATTCTCATGTTTACCTACTTTTTTGGGTGCAGTAGCGTGGCTGCCCTTGAGTCCAATAGGATCCTCTGTGAGCTTACTGGGACTGACAAGAGCTAGCCAGTACTAATAGAAGCCTAACGAGGATGGTCTAGGCTCTCCCCCCCTCCTCTCTCCCTCGCTTTGCTCTCTGTGTGCCCCAGAACGAAGTATAGTGTAATCACATACTTTTAACAATGGCTATGCAGGAGAACAGTCGATCTTGGTTTGGTGCACTGTTAATGGGCCACATCAATTGACCATGCCCTGAAGGTGGCCCTTAGTGTGAAGGTCGCCAGATGGAACTCAAAAGCCTATGGGCCCTGGGGTTGATTGCAACAGCTGCATTGTTGCCATCTCTGGCCCTGGGGTTGCTACATGTGTGCTTGTTGGTGCATGGCACCACCACCGCCTAGAGTGCCATCAATAAAAGAATGGAGGGAGGAAAACTTCTTGCTACAGACCCATCATCACATTCATGAATAATAACTGCTGGCATGGTTTCATTGGCTCTGATATATGGAAGCACCACACTAAGATAATTGTCTCTTTCTTATTATTCTATTCCTTTTTCACAATTCTTCATCCTTTTCTTTCTTATGAGATTCCAAAGTTCCACTACTCTGGGGTTAACTACTTGTTAAGAAAAAGATCAATATATAACCAAAACCAAAAAAAATTAAAGCAAAAATCTGATTGATTTAATTTGAATAAATCTATTGTTTTTATGAGCACACATTTTATTTAGAATAATTAAAGCAATCTACCTTTGTCTTTTCAGATGCAACTCACATTAACTCGGAAAGTGTGCATACACTTTAGTTTTCTCTGTACATGCTATTTTATTGAAGTTATTATCAGAGCAATTTTCTAAAGCTTTGGAACATACTTTATCTTCTCAACAAGAGTACCCATAGCTAATTTTTCATGTCTCTTTATTCCCTTATTTCCAGAGGTAAAGTAAATAATGCAGCAAAACGGCATAGCTTTCCTTTAAAGTAAACTCTGTTAAATGCTCATGCGTTTCTGCTGTTCTAAATTTATCACGGTCACCGCATTATAAAATTCAGTAGCTGTTAATTTCTTCAGTGCTAAAAATCATGGTGCCAGACGTATAATTTGTTTCACTTCTGCTAGTTTTATGTTTCAAACACAAGAACAAAATGAGTTGGCGCATCAATATATTTGATATTGGTGAACATTTTTCTCTTAAGTGGCCCTTTGGAGTTCCCTCTCCATTAAACTTTTAAAAATGCAGTTATTTTCTTCATTTTCCAGCAGTAAAACTGTTTTAAAATACAAACCTTAAAGGAAGATTCACTGCGATTTCCACACTTTAATGTATCCGCAGTGTTCGTTTCTAGAACCATTTAGTATTTCCACCTTGGCTACGTTTTACTGTGCCAAAATACATGGAAGGAAATAGTGTGTAGTATTGTGGCAGATCCAAAAACAGTACTAATAATGATATACTACCACTTGCCATTGACTGTATAGTCATCTCCACAATATTGCACATATATGTCCTACAAGATGAACCAAAAATTCCCATAAGTCTCACAGAGAACAAGTAAAGTAGATTATTTTAAGTTACTAGGTGTATAGTTGTTTTGATTGTCTGTGTTCGTTATCCTGCTTTGAAAGTGTAGGAAGGGAACTCTATTGGACATGGAAGAAAATCAATACTTATGGTAATATATTAAAGGACCACTCTAGGCACCCAGACCACTTCAGCTTAATGAAGTGGTCTGGGTGCCTGGTCCTTCTAGGGTTAACCCATTTTTTCATAAACATAGCAGTTTCAGAGAAACTGCTATGTTTATGAATGGGTTAAGCCTTCCCCTATTTCCTCTAGTGGCTGTCTCATTGACAGCCACTAGAGGCGCTTGCGTGCTTCTCACCGTGATTTTCACAGTGAGAGCACGCCAGCGTCCATAGGAAAGCATTGTAAATGCTTTCCTATGAGACCGGCTGAATGCGCGCGCAGCTCTTGCCGCGCGTGCGCATTCAGTCGGCGGGGCGTAACGGAGGCGGAGAGGAGGAGGAGAGCTCTCCGCCCAGCGCTGGAAAAAGGTAAGTTTAAACCCCTTTCCAGAGCCGGGCGGGAGGGGGTCCCTGAGGGTGGGGGCACCCTCAGGGCACTATAGTGCCAGGAAAACGAGTATGTTTTCCTGGCACTATAGTGGTCCTTTAATGCATTCCTACTATGAAACTCACAAAGTTATGTCCATGAAGTTATGTCCCCCTCCTTCCCCCCGAGAGACTTCTCTCAAGACTTGGCTATCAGAGTGCACTGATTGGTTGTCTCACAAGCCTACCAATCACAGTGTACGTACTAATATTACAAAGCCTTTATAAGGTTTTACCCCACTATGAGATCTCAGTCTGCAGTATTGTGCTATTTGTTTAATTTTTTTGATAATTTTGGGAGGGAATAGTTTTAGTTTTTTTCATTAATTGCATCAATTATGTATTTTACTTTGGCCTTTTTTGGGGATGAAGAAAAGAAGAGTAAACAAAAGGAAGACTTCTGATTGGTAAGTATAATTTCTATATTACATATCTATATTCAAACTCACATGTATCTATTATTGCTTCATGAATAATAATTTCCTGAAGATTCATTTTGGTGTGTTTTCACATGATACACCGGGCTCTGAACAACGTACAAAGAATATTACTTATACCTGGAGTAGATATTTATGTATGTATTATATACAGATTTTCATATTATCTTTTCATTAGTGGGGGGGGGGTTTCATAAACAATTACAGAGTTATTTATTTTCCTTCCTGACCCTTGTTCCTATAGCTATACAAATCACACATATTTAATTAAGGATTTCCTGGGGTTTGAATGGTGAAAACATGTCACAGTATGTTAGCAATCTGAGCTTGAGCTGAAACAATGGCATCCGTTTAATAAGTTTTCCCAAGTGTTCAATACTGTTATAAAAACTTTACCCATAGTAAACCCATAGTTCACATTTTCTATAGAAACAATGACAGTTTGGCAGTAAAACATGCATTAACCATACAAATCCATCAACCTTTGTAAGGTAAATATAGACTTAGAGCGCTGGAGGTGGGTTAGCAGCAGTGGCATACATACCGGTATGTACGCCAGTGTGGCCAGCCTCTTCTCCTGGGGGGCCTAGGTGCTGGCCACCTCAGGGCCGTCCGAAAGCTGGCCTTGGTGTCACTGGGCGGGCTGGCTGGAGAGAGCTCAGCCAGGGAGAGTGCTCCCTCGCGCGCCCGCAGGACCGGCCGCCGGGCAGCCCCACTGGACCCCAGGGAATTCCCTCAGCTCTCCCAAAGGTAGGGAGGCTGGGGGATCACATTTAAAAAAAAAATGTGTGTATGTGTGTTAGTATTAGAGTGTGTGTGTTAGTTTTTGTGTCGGTGTGTGTGTTACTGTGTGTGTGTCTGCTAGTGAGTGTCAGTGAGTGTGTTAGTTTTTGTGTGTGTTACTGTGTGTTAGTTTGTGTGTCTGTTATTGAGTGTGTGTCTGCTAGTGAGTGTCAGTGTGTGTGTTAGTTTGTGTGTCAGTGAGTGTGTGTCAGTGAGTGTGTGTGTCAGTGAGTGTGTTACTGTGTGTGTCTGTTACTGAGTGTGTTAGTTTGTGTGTGTCTGTTAGTGAGTCTGTTTGGTGTCTGTTAGTGAGTGTGTGTTTTTCAGTGAGAGTGTATGTTTTGTAAGTGAGTATGTATGTGTGTCTGTCAGTGAGTGTGTATGTATGTCTGTCACTGAGTGTGTCTCTGTCAGTAAATGTGTGTCTGTTAGCTAGCGTGCATGCATCTGTTCGTGAGAGTGTGTGTGTGTGTTTAAAACCCCTTCAGCACTTACCTTGTCTCCAGCGCCGGACTCCGTCCGCCCCTATCCGCCGTTCAGCTCCGAATGCGCATGCGCGGCAAGAGCCGCACGCGCATTCAAACCGCCCATAGGAAAGCATTAGTCAATGCTTTCCTATGGACGTCCAGCGTCTTCTCACTGAGATTTTCACAGTGATAATCGCGGAAGCGCCTCTAGCGGCTGTCAATGAGACAGCCACTAGAGGCTGGATTAACCTTCAGTGAAACATAACAGTTTCTCCGAAACTGCTAGGTTTTCAGCTAAAGGGTTAAAACTAGAGGGACCTGGCACCCAGACCACTTCATTGAGCTAATGTGATCTGGGTGTCTGTAGTGGTCCTTTAAGTGTATGTGTATCTGCATCCAGTGGCGTACATAGCGCAGTCTCGGGGGTCGCAGCCCTGCAACCCCTGCCGCCATGTGTTGCGGCACCGGCCCGCGCAGAGTAAGTGCGCGGGGGTGGGGCGGGGGATCCACGGATCAATTTTCGCACCGGGGCCCTGTGGGTCGTGTGTACGCCACTGGTTAGCAGGGTAGTCTAAGCCTATCATTGACACCAAAATCAGACTTGATGATTTGGTAATATAATTTCTGCATTTTGAGTATGGCTGCACAGGGGCAAGCGATGAAAGTTGAAGACAGCCTTATTGATTTACAAACTGATATAAAATTGATTGACAGAAACCCAAAGGGTAATGCCTAAAGATCCATTGCTGCATAATCACTAGAATGAGCTTGGTGCTTAAGGTCCTTTGATTGCCCTTTATATTACTTATTCAATCAGTCATAATTACTGTAGATCAAATTTTCAAACTGTATATTTGTACAGAAAACAACACATTATGGCAATATTTTGTTTTCCTTTAAAGGGATACTGTAAGCACTAAAACAGCTTTAGCTTAATGAAGCAGTCTAGGTGTATAGATCATGCCCCCGTAGTCTCACTGCTCAATTATCTGCCATTAGGGAGTTAAATCACTTTTTTTTATGTGTATAGAGCCCTAGCCGTTCCTTTCCTGACTATGACTCACACAGCCTGCATAAAAAACGGTTTTCATTTTCAATCAGATGTGGCAGTGCAGTGTGTTTACAGAAGTTTTTATTTCCTGCTTGGAAATTGAACTTTAATAAAAAACTGGAGGCTACTATAGGCTCTACACAGCTATTAACAAAGCAGGAGATAAGAAATTCAAAATTAAACAGACTGTGCAATAAAGAAAGTTTAAATCTCTTTTTACAGGAAATGTGTACTGAGACTGTGTAGCTGTGGTGTCTATAGCCTGTTTTTGAAGGCATTTTAATGTATATACAATTAAGTCTAATTGTGGTAGATAATGTTTTAAAAATAGAGAGTGGCAGAGCCCTAGACCAATTTGTTGTGGGTTTTAGAATTTTAAATAATATATCCCATGATTTTATAGAGATTTTAGTTGAAGGTAACAACTCAGATAATTTTGGTCTTTTTGAAATAGGGATCCACATTATTTATTTAATCAAATGTGGATAAAATGGATCAATTTCAATTTCTAGCCATTTTGGCTCATTAGAGTCCAAATTAATTTTAATTTAATAATATTAATATTAATAAAGCTAATAATATTTTTTTTTAATCTAGCACCCCCAGACCTCCACATCTTTCTTAAATGTTTACAGGATTGTTAATTTAACTCTGCATATTTTTTTCCAAATAAATTTGACTAGTTCAGAATGCACTTTCTTTAAAAATAATGGGACCATATGTCCTAATATAGTATAACTCTCTGCTAGACCCGCTTCAGTCTGGTTTCCGCGCTAAGCACTCGTGGAAACAGCACTGACCAAAGTATCAAATGATCTACTCACTGCAAAATCTCGTGGTCACTACTCTATCCTAATTCTCCTTGACCTGTCTGCGGCTTCTGACACTGTTGATCATCAACAGTTTCTTCTCATCCTCCGCAATATCGGTCTACAAGATATTGCTCTCTCGTGGTGCTCCTCCTATCTCTCCCAGCGCTCTTTCAGTGTTTCTTTCTCTGGCTCTGCTTCTTCTCCCCAACTCCTCTCTGTTGGTGTCCCCCAAGGTTCAGTCCTTGGTCCCTTACTGTTCTCCATCTATACTGCCTCCCTTGGTAAACTCATTAGCTTCTTTTGGCTTCCAATATCATTTCTATGCAGATGACACGCAAATCTACCTGTCCTCTCCTGATCTCTCCCCGTCCCTCTTAACTAGTGTCTCTGACTGCCTCTCTGCTGTTTCTAACTGGATGGCTGCACACTTCCTAAAACTAAACTTGACCAAAACTGAAATTCTGGTCTTTCCTCCCTCAAGTGTTGTAACTCCTGTGTCTGTCTCCCTCCAAGTCAACGGTGCTACCATCAGCTCCACCACGCAGGCTCGCTGCCTAGGTGTTCTCTTTGACTCTGACCTCTCCTTCAAGCCTCATGTTCAATCTATCCTGCCATTTCCATCTCAAAAACATTGCGCGCATCCGCCCCTACTTAACGCCAGATGCGACTAAGGTGTAGGTCCATTCCACTGTCCTTTCTCGTACTGTAATCCGCTTCTCAGTGGTCTTACGTGCTCTCAACTAGCGCCATTACAGTCCATAATGAATGTGGCGGCGAGGCTCATCTTCCTGTCCGCCCACACCTCCCATGCCTCACCCTTCTGTCAGTCCCTACACTGGCTTCCTATAAAATATAGAGCTCAATTTAAAATTCTGGTTCTTGCTTTCAAATCTCTACTGCTCCCACCTATCTATCCTCCCTTATACACAAGTATGTCCCGTCTAGGCCCTTACGATCTGCTGAAGACTTACGTCTATCTTCTGTCCGTATTCCCACCTCTGATGCTCACCTTTAAGATTTCTCGAGGGCTGCACCGTTCCTGTGGAACTCGCTTCCCTTCTCCGTTAGATGCTCACCCAGTCTCCACTTCTTCAAAAAAATCGTTAAAAACCCACTTCTTCATAAAAGCGTATCAATTAAACTGTTAATAGCTCCTGACTGATTCCTCTTCTGCAACTGTCACTAGTCTAATACTATCCTTACCTTTTTGTGTTATTTTACCCCAATCCCTCTAGCATGTAAGCTCATTGAGCAGGGCCCTCAACCCCTCTGTTCCTGTGTGTCCAACTTATCTGATTACAACTACATGTCTGTTTGTCCACCCATTGTAAAGTGCTGCGGAATTTGACGGCGCTCTATAAATATCATAATGATAATAATTATAATATAACATCTTAGGGAGAACAGTCATTTTGACTGATGCTATTTTACCTAGCCAAGAAGTTTCTAGTCCTGTCTGCCTTTCCATTTCAGCCTTGAGTTCAGGCCATATTTGGCAAGGTGAAAAAGATGTAT